TGATAAGCATTAAGTGGACAGCAGCTCAGGTTATGTCAATAGTTTATTTGTTGGGATGGGTCAAGAGAATTTTTAGGCAATTCAGGGAGGATGCCCATTTGACATGTTCTAATGCATTATTTTCAGGAGCTCACTATTTTTAAATTAAAAAAATTTTTGAGATGCTAGTAACTCATTTAGATGTAGGTTGTAATTATAACCGAAAGTTTGGTATCAATTCCCAATGCCAATCAATGCCAATTTAAAAATGAGGACAGAGTTTTGAGAAAAAGATCAAATAAGGTTTATTGCTTTGCTAGCAAAGGAGAAACACAGGGGAACTCCAATCCCAAAGGCTGTAACTATCTGGATCTCAGGTACAGAGGGGTTTTAAAGGAACTCTATTCAAGGGTTACATACCAGGTACACTCTGATAGGGGGTGCCATTCCATGTACACTCTGATAGGGGGTCCCCGGGCAGGAGCCTTGCTGGTGTGTTAGGATTCACTTGTTAATTTGGGAGACATTTACTTCCCAGATCCTCAGCAGGCATCTCCTTCCTATAGTGGGTGTGTTCAAGGGCAATTAACTAGGGGAAGAATAGGTAACACTGTCTCCCTAATCTTGTTAGAGAAGGTAGAGGGGACAAGAGAAAAAAGAAAAAAAAAATATTTTTAAATAAACCTCAGAGCAATGAGGACCATATTCAGGACCCCTGTTACATAATTAGGTGTTCACTTGTGAATAGTCTTATCACCCAGTTGAGGTTGGAGCTTCCTTTTAACAAGTTTGACCTTGTAAGCTCCTCATCCCTATCTTTAAATGTGAATTTAAACTAAAATAAAAACTCAGGCATTTTGATATGGCACCAACCCCAGGATACTGCAATACCAGTGATGGGGGCTCCCTGGCTCAGGTCAGGGGAAGAATTATTTGTTGAGGCCAATGGCAAGCCAGTAGGTTGGTTCAGCGTCAAGCCCCTTACAAGGATTGTCTGTAAAACCTGGGATAACAAGAAAATAGGGCTAGACAAGTAGAACTAGGGCATAGCTTAAATGGCTGAAAATAATTCAAAATGGCATTTAAGGATTGAAATTAAAAGGAAAGCCTCTGTCAGGTTTCCAGTGATGCACTAACTCAGGGGTAGGTTTACTATGTCTGTATTAATTGGGTCTTGTTGACTGCACAGGCAACAGGATGCTGCAACACAACTCTTGGGTCAGAGACAGTCTGCTGAGTAATTTAAGAATCCCAAATTATCAGGCAAAGGTAGGAAATTCTTATCTTACCAATAACTAAGAAATTTCACTAATCAGAACTATGGTAGAATTTTTGGTCATCATTTTGTTTTAGACAAAAATGTTTAGAACATTGTAACAGGAGATTGGTTCCAGGACCTCTGTGCATGGCAAAATCTGCAGATGTTCAAGTCTCTTGTATAACACACAGAAGTACTTGCATATAACTAACATACATTCTTCCATGTACCCTACTTTAAATCATCTCTAGACTACCTACAATATTAATACACTGCAAATGCTATGTAAATTATTGTTATACTGTATTGTTTACGGAATGGTGAAAACCTTTACATGTTTACTAGACACTTTAAAGAATATTTTTCATCTGTAGTTGCCTGACTCTATGAATTTAGAACCCATAGATACAAGGATATAGAAGGCTGACTAGAATACAGAAGAGCAAAACAAAGTATTTTCCAGGATTTTGAATAGATCTTGATTTTTCCCATTTAAAAAACTCAGACTGCATTTCAGACAACTAACTTAAATAATAATACTGACCAGAGAGGCTGCTCCTACTTAGAAAGGTGGCACGAAGTAGGAAGAACCCTTAGGCTCTTCCACAGGGGTCTTCCATCATCTCTGGAACTCTCTCTCTCTCTCTCTCTCTCTCTCTCTCTCTCTCTCTCTCTCTCTGTGTGTGTGTGTGTGTGTGTGAAGTTGGGACAATACAACCAACTCTATGGACTTATTATAAACATTAGCTAAGGCAGAGAGCTTAACACAAAGTCTAATAAATACTTTATAAACAGGAACTACTCATATTTTGTATAAATGCATCTTAAAAATTAACCTTAAAGAAAAGTGCCACTATAATAATAATAATAATAATAAAAAAAGAATCATAGTGGCCAGCAAAATTTCTTTGACAATAAATATGAGGTCATATCATTCTAAAAAGATAAAGATCTCTCCCTGCCAATTTTCACTACAAAAACTGTATATTGATAATAAGCTAAGAATACAAGATGGAAGCCGGGCATGGTGGCACATGCCTATAATTCCAGGAAGCTGAAGGACTGAGGTAGAAGGATCACAAGTTCAAGGCCAGCCTCAGCACCTTAGCAAGATATGGTCTCAAAATAAAAAAATGAAAGAAGATCTGGGGACTTAGCTTAGTGGTAAAGTGCCCTGGGCACAATTACCAGGACAAAAAAAAAAAAAAAAAGGATGGTGCAAATTGCTACATTCTTTCCTATCAGTAAGTTTGTTACCTAAGAATACAGCCTTTTTTTTTTTTCTGGGAGTGGGGGGTTAGGGGGGTGGAGTACCAGGGATTGAACTCAGAGGCAGTCAACCACTGAGCCACATCTCCAGCCTTATTTTGTATTTTATTAGAGACAGGGTCTCCCTGAGTTGCTTGGTGCCTCGCTATTGCTGAGGCTGGCTTTAAACTCAAGATCCTCCTGTCTCAGACTCCCAAGCTTCTGGGATTATAGGCCTGTGCCACCATGCCTGGCTAGTATATATAGCTTTTTAATAAAATCAATATTAAGAAAATTAAACTGTATTTGGTTTACTTTAATAAAGTTTCCCTGTCAAAATTTCAGAACACCTGAGGTAATTAAGATGCTTTTAAGGATTTACATCTGAAATGTTCACGCATTTCCAAAAGGCATTGTTAAAAACAATGATAAAAAACAAGTATATTTCCCCAAGAAAAAACATTTTCTCAAATAGTAGAACTTAATCTGTAATTTATATTCATTATTTTATAGCAAAAAATAGATATAGAATAATTATGTGACTTATCAAGTTCATATTTCAAATACAATTTTGGGAGGGAGGGATGAGGATCCAAAAATCTATTAGATGAGCTTGACTTTGATCACTTACCAAGTTCTAAGGCAGATTATTAAACAGAGGTCATGTAAGCAGTTGGAAAAGGATGTAGTGTGGTTTCCTAAGGATGAGGCATTTCCAGCAGCCTACATTTCCCTCCTTAACTTAATATACCAACAGATTAAGCTATTTCCAAAGACAGTGCATGTGACTGCTAAAACATGATAAAATTTTTATGATGTCCTTAGAAAAGAAAAAATAGGGTGCATGAAGTGACTGGTATTTGCTTTAACACTTGTACCAGAAGTATTAATAGATCATCTAGAGAACAGTCTACAGTGGCATTCTGAAGAGGGTTTGTATTCTACCCTGTTTGACTCAATAATTATACATAATCTGGACAAAGCCACTAAGTATTTAAAGCATCTTTTGTCAAAATTGGAACTGACACAAGACTAAAAGAAAGAATCAGAATTCACAAGGACCTTTACAAGTTAATTTAGTAAGGATGAATGTCATCCTTCAATTAGGATAAGAAAAAAATTATGTCAGTAAAGATTAGGAGAGGACATTGGTTTACTAGCAATGCCTTTGAAGTTTTTTAGCAAGAGACAACCATGTGATATGCTTGCCTAATAACAACAACATGACAGCCACAGAAATTCATTTTGAAGTTGGGAATAATGGCCCTGAACCCTATTCTAGTGGAGTTACAGAAATGTGTTTAGTTCTGAGCAACATATTTTAAGAGAGGGATCGAAAGAGCCAACGCCATGCTGGTCTGGAATAGGTATCATGTAAGATTCCAGAAAAGTGTGAGGCTTGAGGGAGGATATGAAGAAGTGGTCACACAAGAGACACAGCTTTTCTAATTTAATAAGTATGCTATTTACAGAGAAATCTGGGTGAACTCCTCTTCTTTTTGATACACAGGAGTGCTTAACCACTAAGTCACATCCGTAGCCCATTTTAAAATTTTATTTATTTTTTTGTACCAGGGATTGAACTCAGGGACACTCAACCACTGAACCAGCCCTATTCTGTATTTTATTTAGAGACAGGGCCTCAGTGAGTTGCTTAGCACTTCTCTTTTGCTGAAGCTGGCTTTGAACTCTCCTGCCTCAGCCTCCTGAGCCACTAGGATTACAGGCATGCACCACGGGCCTGGCTAAAATTTTTTTATTTTGAGACACTGAGTTGCTTAGGGCTTTGCTAAGTGGCTGAAGGTGGCTTTGAACTCGTGATCCTCCTACCTAAGCCTCCCAAGCCGCTGGCATTATAGGTGTGTGACACTGTGCTCAGCTAGGTGACACTCTTCTAACAATGAAACCCATCCCTTGTAGGTGCCAAGTCACTCCATCCTGCAATGGCTGGATAAACATTATAATCACGAGAGGACTGTGGCACAATAGCAGAGGGGTACCATTGCCATTTCTAGCTCTGGATAATATTTTCCTAGCCCATTTATTCTGCCAGGGGAAAATCAGAATTCTAAACTTTCTAAACAAAACTATTAGTTTTTGTCTAATAAGGTGGACATAATCAGCACTCAAACTGACCCTGCTAAAATGCATGAAGTCTCTGAACCCTCTGTAACCCACAAGCTAGATTTGGAGAAAGATAACAAACAAGGTGGACCCCCATCCTGAACTTTGAGAGTTTTGGCAGTCCTGAGTTGATGTGAAACCAGGCTCTGCTGGAACCTACAGAACTGCCCAGAACATTAGGGAGGAGAGGGCGACTACTCCTTCAGAGTCTCCTGGGCAACATTAGTCCACCTACTACTTCAGTAAATTCTCAGCAGTCCTTCTCAGATTATAGATTAAGGATTAAAAAATCCTGTGATGGGAGCTATTCTAGACTTCCTTATTAGTTGTGTTCTTGCTATTAATCCCTTCAGGGGTTATGTTATAGAAGTGACACGATTACACAATTAAATATTAGAAATGACCACCAAGTATATCCTGTTTATTGTTTATGATTTACACGGAAGATGATGGGCTGGGGTTGTAGAACAATAAACCAATCATTACATTTAGACCTGGGCTTTTGAAAAACTTGCATTCCATTTAAACAGTTCATATATATTTAACAGCATATATATAAATCCAGATCACAAATAACCTTAAGAGTTAGTTAGCTCAGAGATAAACAATTAAGAAACACAAAAGAAAACCACATAAATCTAACTTTAAATATCAGCATTCATATTATAAGAAATAAGAAAATGTTCAAAAAATAAAATTATTAGGTCAAGTCACAACATAAAATAGAGAAATAAGATAAACAATATTTTATTAATAATATTCATACTTCTTTCTAATTTACCTTCATATATTCTTAACTTTTTCAAAAGGATCCAAGATAAGATCAAATAATATTTTGGGGTCTGAACTTGTCAGCCTCAGCTTATACTGGCTTGTTATCATGAAAATCCTAAAACTTCAACTTTCTTTTTAAAAAAATTTAAACTAACTTTTTCCCCTCATAGCAGCTGTTATAGATAGTAGGGAGCCAACAATGAAGGACAGTAACAGATGGAAAGCAAAAAGTACAACAGCTATCTAAAGTCAGCTCTCAACATTGGTGGTTGAGTTTGAAACCAAAACCTCTTAACAACTGGCAGATACTAGCTAAATCTTAACAGGCAGAGAAGAAATATTTTCTTTGGGACAGCTGCTATGTAGGAGAAGAAAACCAAGGTCCCTTAATACTGCCTAAATATAATGGATGGCTTATTACAGATAGATCTGTAACAATGTAAGTTTAACCAGTAAGTGTCACAACTGATCAACACTACTTGAAAAGAAACAGACAAACAAAAAAATCACATTAGTCACGAATTTCCACAATATACACATGAGAATTAATTGTAATCTGATTTGACTCCTTGACACTAACTGATCATCAATGAAATATGGTATGGAAAGATCACAGAGTAGAAAACAAGCAAAGATTAGTTTATACAACAGTGACTATATACATCTGCAGGAAAACATGCTAGCTAATGCAACATTAAGGCCTGAATGTAAGCATTTCCAAAGTCACAGAAGCCCCAAAGAACCCCTAAATTACAAATTCACCACATTACATGCATGCAATGTTCACTTTTGTTTTACCCATAAAAGGATACACAGTATTTTGCTGTAAATACCAGACACATTTACAATATATGCAAAAATTAGAATGCAAGTGTTATGTTCCTTATATTTAAGCCTCAAATGTGCCAACAGTGAAAATTCATTTAAAGAATGGCAAAAAGAGACAGAATATAAATACTCAAGAGAAATTACACAAAATGTAATTGGGAAGCCATATAAATATTCTTCAAATTAAATTATGATGGACCACCTGGATGGATGTACACTAACTATGTGCTTTGCTATTTTACTTGCTCAAATGTGATATTCTAAAAGCCATCGTTCTCTGGTGTTGATATTAAGTCACATCTTTAAGTTAAATATAAGGCTTATGTTTGTACAAACTTGCCTAATGCATGCGATCACCTAAAGGAGAAGCTGTGTCATTTTGGTTAGGGTTATATAATTACAAAGATGATCCTGTCTGATTTTCAGACCTTCCAAAATATTTCAGAACCAAAATTACCTTAACCATATCCAATGTTTATTAAACAAATGTGCCAATAGTATTTTGGACCTTCAGGTATAATTTTAACCAACAGCAAAAGGTTGGCTATCAGCTTAAAAAGGGTTGCATATAGTCTTCTAATTTATCTCAGTGTACCAAGCACAGAGCACACCAGAGTCTTCATATGCATTACCAACCTTTAGGTACATCTACTATTTATTAAATAATTTATTTTACTACAGAACCATTTCAGGGGGTATACATCTAAGATTTTAAAATTTTGTGATGTTCTGGTCAAAATTTTGGCTTTTGTTTGGCATTCTGAAAAGTCCTAATTGTAAGCAAAGATGAAAAAGTAGACACCTTTCTTAAAAGCTTTCCAGTATTATGAACCAAGAGGTTTTGATGGAGCAAAAGCAAAGGGACCAATGAAAAAGCATGCTTTAGAATTCAATTTATTTCCAATGAAACCAAATTTTACTACTGCTGTGATCACAGTCTTCACATTTGATGCAAATAGGAGAGCTTAGCTATAATCTCTTAGTGGCAGAATTTTCGACAAAATCAATAATGTGTGCCACATAGATGACTATTTCTTTCGGAGTTAACTGATAAGCCTGACTTTACAATTAATACCAACATATTCAACTAAAGAAAATGGATGCACTGCTTTAACATTCAGCTTGAAAATGTTTAGTACTTTCTGCAAACCTAAATTCAGTTTAGAAAGGTTAATATCCTCTTTCTAAACTATGGCATATACTATATATAGCATTTTCAATATATTTATATATAATTATTTGCACATCAGATTTAGAAGGAATTTGCAGATTAACTTTGATAGACTGATCTCATTTCAACCGATAAGGTTTAGGGGGCTTCTGCAGTACTGTCATTTGAAGGTGGGGCATCAGGATCAGGCTCGGAGGAAGCAGCTGCAGATGCTTCGATAACTGCAGGTGGGAAATGACGGCGGCACACAGGGCATGTTCCCGACTGGAGGGGAAAAAACAAGTTAACAACCACCAGAAACATCTTAACTGCCACATAAGTATCTAAATAGAAAAAAAGATAGTTTCATTATCCTAATAACAAATCAAGTATCTGAAAAATAAAACCAAATAAACTTAAAAACCACACAATACAAAAGGACAAATTTTTAATGTTATTTCTTCTGCACCCTATCAGACCGTAATTTCTTTGGGGGAGAAATGTCTTATGATTATGTCTGTACTTTTCAGAGAGCTCACCAAGGGTTGAGAATGTAGCTCTGTGGTAGAGCACTTGCCTAGCATGCTCAATGCCCTGGGTTCAATCCCCAGTAAAGAGAAATTCACCTTTTATTTAGTACGTTTTAAAAGAGTCTCCATGCTTAGCACTGAAGCCAGTGGTAAAAAGTGAACAAAGGATCATAGAGCATTTCCTCATGGAAGTCAGCATTTAACTCAATAATGACCTGAACTAAATTATTATTATTTCATCTATTATGCAAATATTAAAGAAACCATACACATACTTATCCAATTTATTACTCCAGACTTTTCATATATAGAGAGTTTATATATAATATCTTTATATATGTAGATATATATAAAAATGGACCTCAGACCTTTCTTAGAAGGCATGTTAATACCTTTCTGAGAAGAACTGGAGTTAAATGCCTTCTTCTTCTTCCTCTTTTTTTTTTTGGTACTGGGAATTGAACCCAGAGGTGTTTTACCATTAAGCCACATTCCCAGACCTTTTAATCTTTTGAGACAGGGTCTCACTTAAAATCTTTAGGGCCTTGCCAAGTTGCTGAGGCTGCCCTTGAACTTGCAATCCTTCTGCCTCAACCTCTTGAGTCACTGGGATTACAGAGTATGCCACTATGCCTGGCATTAGATGCCTTTTAAATGACAAAGTAATTCAACTGGCAGACCTGGGAATGAGGGAAGGAAGGAGATGTCTTTATACTACAGATAAGTCATTAGATGCCAGATCATTCCTTGCCAATCTGGTATTTTTCCCAAAGAAATCAAGACAGAAGGAAGGATGAAGATATCACGCTGTTGAAGGTGACAGAAAACTGTATCTTAGGAACCTTCTTTCTGGGGGGAACTGGGAAAGGCTTTTCATTAAGCAGTCTCCTTACAGGACAGAGACTCAACAGGACATTATCTTGGGTTATGGCAAAATTAAGAACAGTTCCAGGTATATTTACAATTTACGAATTCAATTCTGTGAACATTTACTTATCAAACAGATTGGGCCCTATTAGCAACATTTTAGAGTCAGACACATGAGTGCAGATGAGGTCAACCACATACCAATTGTGTAACATTGAACAAATAATGATCACTGAAAATGGGAAGATGGATACCAGTATGTCCTCAGGTAGTTATGAGGATTAAATGTGACAATATAGGTGAATCATCTAGCAGTGCCTGAATCACAGCAGGCGCACGGAACACTGATCCTTCTCAAGTCTCTGAATCTATCATGGGAATTTAAAGAAAGGTTATGTTAAAAATAGAAAAGGTAGCATTTCAGCTGTATCTACTTAGATCATCTATTAGATGGTATAGATGGATGATCACAACAGGCTTCAAAAATAAATGCACAGAAACATAAGGAAATATGCAAATAAGTAAATATAAGACAAAGGTTGGGGGTGAGGTCATAAAAGACCTTGAAAGCCAAAACAAATTATTCCACAGGTGACCAAAAATCAATCTCAATTCCAACATCTTCCCCTACTCTTTTTTGGGTAGGGAAGCAATATGATCAGAGCGAGGTAATATGTTGAAAGGAGATATGGACACAAAGTAGGTAATTACCATAGTAGTTAAGCCAACATGGGTTGAAGATCTACTATTGTGGGGGTAGAAATGAATGAGAGAATGGACCTCACAGATATAAAGGCATACTCAACACTTGATGGCTCTCCATTTTGTTCTTTCCCACTAAATTTTTAAGAAATATTTTATTAGTTATTGATGGACCTTTATTTGTTTACATGTGGTGTTGAGAATCAAACTTATTGCCTCACACATGCGAGGCAAATGCTCTACCACTAAGCCACAACCTCAGCCCCTCCCACTAATTTTAATAACATCTACTACTACCACTACCACCACAGGCATTCCGTTTTAGTAGTTCTTTTCTATTTAATTCTGGTTTTAATTACTACTAACTTTACTGCTATTTTTCCAGGCACTATATCAATTTGCTATGAATTATTTACTTCAACCATTATAAAAGCCCTAGAAAAGTGGATATATTGTGTTAGTTCAGTCATCTAGGCTGTATCAACATAATGCCAAATAAACTGGTTAAGAAAAATCACCTAGCATTCTAGTTCCCATATTACATTCTCAGGGAGGGAAGAGATCAAAGAAAACAATATTTTACAAATAATTCTGAATCCAAGATCATGCCTCAATTCTGAAGGCAGGAAATCTTATGAGAGTTGAAACACTCTTGATCACCACACAGGCAATACATACCAAATAGCAATCATGTTGGTAAAGTGCTGTTTTTTAAGTTGTATCATAAATTAAGTTTATATTTGTGCTTTTGTTAGTAAAGCCATCTCTAATTTTTAATTACAGCTTTGATCTGATAAGATTTTTTTTTTTAACATTTATTGGGCATTCACCACATTCCAGGCACTATGGATTATCTCATTTAGTTCTCATATTATGTGATATATATATATCATCATAATTACCATTTAACAAATGTTAAGAAATTAGAAAAAAAATCTGGCAGTAATCAATTATATAACTTCGACCTTAACTCAAATGAGCATTATAGCTCATAAACATGTTTGTGTTCCATCAACCTAACTCTAAAAGCATTCTAGAGCAATTCTCTAAAATAACACATAAATTTAACGTAATCACAATTAGCAACCTAAAGTGAATTCTTTTGGGGATAAGAAGCAAATGGATAAAACTATCTGAGAAGTCAAATAGAAAAAAAAATGCTGAAGAATATGCGAAATAATAAACAGAAAAAATAGCATGTACTATTAAAAATAATAAAAAATTTAAAAAGACATCAGTACTACAAATATTAGTGAAAGGGTTTAAGCAACTTGGAAAAAGTGTGGATATATACATCAATGGATGGGAACACCAGTTATTTGGGGAGCAGGAGCAGTAGTGAGGAAGAAAGGTAGAATTGAGCAGGAGAACATAAGAGATTGTAGCAAATAGAAAAATGTGCAAATAACATTTTATAAAAGAATACAAAACTAAATAATACAAATTTGGTATGCTTATAGACATATAACAGGAGCTAATGGCAACAATTAAATGATGCATGTGAGCCGGGCATGGTGGCACACACCTGTAATCCCAGTAGCTCGGAAGGCTGAGACAGGAGAATTGGGAGTTCAAAGCCAGCCTCAGCAAAAGTGAGGTGCTAAGCAACTCAGTGAAACCCTATCTCTAAATAAAATACAAAATAGGTCTGGGGATGTGGCTCAGTGACTGAGTGCCCCTGAGTTCAATCCCTGATACAAATATATATATATTTGATTCATAAAGGAATAATGAACATTTCTATGTTGGATTTTAGTTTCGAGAAAATGAAGTGGTCATATGGGTGCGGGGGGCGGGGCAGACAGCAAAGAAAGAGAAAGGAAAGAAGACAGAAGGCAGGAAGGAGAGGGGAGGAAAAAAAATGGAACAGAAAAGAAAAAAGTGGTTGTCAAAAAGAGAGGGAGTTAAAACCATAAGTAAACGAACTAGGAAAGGTAATTTGGGAATTCCTATTGAGATGGTAAATATCCTTCATATAAAACAGAGATGACAGAAGATTTAAGTAAAACTCTTATTTTTTAAGTAGTTTCAATACATTTAAAAATTGTTAGATAAGTATTGAAGGACAGTGTATAAAAAACAGAATAGGAGGTACTTGGTAGGTTATTAAAATTCTCTCACATTGCTGGGTACAGTGGCCCATGCCTGTAGTCCCAGAGGGTTGGGAGGCTGAGGCAAGCGGATTGAGAGTTCAAAGCCAGCCTCAGCAAAAGTGAAGTGCTAAACAACTCAGTGAGACCCTGTTTCTAAATAAGATACAAAATAGGGCTGGGGATGTGGCTCAGTGGTTGAGTGCCTCTGAGTTCAATCCCTGGTACCAAAACAAACAAACAAACAAACAAAACTCTCACATTATTTTTGGAAACACCAATCCACATTAGCAGGATACTTGTTTATTGTTGCACTACACCTTGAGTGGTGTCAAAGACTTCCTTGCTTGAGATACTTTTTAAAATATCAAATTCAGGATTGTAATTAAAAATATATTGTTACTGTGTTTTCTTGCTATTTTTCAATGCTATTTTTAAGATGTTATTAAAGCAAAATAGTTCTTTATTATTCCTAATCTGTAGTCATTAAAGACAACCACTCTTTAACCCTGAAATACTGTCTTGCTTTTATTTTTGTACCAGAGATTGAACCTAGGGGCACTTAACCAATGAGCCACATCCTCAGCCCTTTTTATTTTTAATTTAGAGACAAGGTCTTATTAAGTTGCTTGAGGCCTCACTAAGTTGCTGAGGCTGGCCTTGAACTTGACAAACTTCTTGCCTAAGCCTCTTGAGTTGAGAGGATTAGAAGTTATGTGCCACTGTACCCAGCTATATTTCAAAATAAATAAATATTTATTTCATAGCTAAACAAAACAGGCTTAAAAGAGACTATTATCATCATTAATGTGTAGGAGACACTATTAAATATTAATTTTTAAAAAGCAGATTTAAAACTCACCTTCTGTAGCCAAATTGAGACACAAGGCTTGTGAAAGAAATGGTGACAGGGCAACTCTGTTGCTATATCATCTTTAATATACTCACTGCAACAGATTGGACAGCATTGTTCCTGACCAATAGCTGAAAACAGTAAACAATTTAGTTCTATCAATCACATAAAGTTCAATTTTAATAAAAATATAAATCAACATATTGACTCATAGATGATACAAAAGAAGTAGACTTGGATCGATTAATTGGCAAACATGTGTTTCTGCATAATACACGACAATTTGGCATTTACTAAACATCGCTTTTGTAGAAAATTTGACTGGGGAACATTTGTCTCAGTCTATCATGTTATAATTAAACATATTATACTAGGTGAAAGTTTGTCAGCATCTGGTTTCAACAGAAAATCAGATGATGGATTCTAATAGTCAAGTATTTCATCTTCTAGTGCACTGAAAATATACTTAAATATGCAGCATGTGTCATTCAATACTTGAGATCAACTTTGCCCTTACCAGTGTGATCTTCAAGAACAAGGGTTTCTGGAAGACCATCAATGCTTTCCTTACTGGCTGGTGGATTGGCAACTTCAACATCCACTGCCAGAGACTCTAAATGTGCCAGTGCAGTCTGAAAAAGAAAAGTTACACTTCTATTAGAAAATACTTTAAAACAGTATTAGAAAACTATTGTTAAGGTATTTTACAAAATTACATTTACCATATTCTTTTTCTGTTTCCTTTGTTTAGTCCTTTGCTCTTTCCAAAAGAAACTACCATCATCGCTATTAAACCAAAACATTTTCTCACACACACACACGCACACGTATGCAAAGCTCTACTTCTCATGAGTAAAAATATAATTTGTCTCAATAATCATCTAATTAATTGCCCATTACAATTATATTTTCAGAGGAGTGGTTATGTCTTCCAACTTACGGCTTCCTGTGTAGGATGAACAATATGAAGAAAGTAAACACTTAAAAAAGGTTCATTTCATGAAAGATAAAGTATTAGGAAGGATGGAAAGAACAATAGATCATATGACCATCTATCATGAGTTATTCTCATTCTTTTGAGTTCCATTAGACCAGAACGGCAGTTAAGACCTTTATATTTTACCTACCACTTGTACAAACACAAGTTCTCAGTGCACATGCAGCTTCCTCTGCCTGGCACTTTCTGTACCAGGTTTAAGTCCCATCAGTTCCTCAAGGACTGGGTAAAGTCCTGTCTCTTTTAGGAAGTCTATGTCAGTGGTCCTAAACCATACTGGTATCTTCCTTCTGAATTGCTACCATATTCAAATAATTAATATTATACAGTTAAATAATTACTTGTTTGTATTATATCCTAATTATAGCATCATAAGGCTTCAGAGTCATAAAAGACCTTAGCATTAGTCTGTTTAATCCAGCAATTCCACTTCTAGGTATATACACAAAATAACTGAAAGCAGAGACCAAAATGAATATTTTTACAACTATGTTCACTGCAGCATTACTCACAAGATCAAAAGGTAAGAGGAGCAACCTGTCTATTGATTGGTTAATGGATACACAAAATGTGATACATGTATATTCAGTGGAATATTATTCAGCCTTGAAAAGCCAGCCCCAGCAACTGCGAGGTACTAAGCAACTCAGTGAGACTCTGTCTCTAAATAAACTACAAAATAGGGCTGGGGATGTGGCTCAGTGGTTGAGTGCCCCTGAGTTCAATCCCTGGTACCACCAAAAAAAAAAAAAAAAAAAAAAGCTGTTTTTTCTATGTAGAAAAAGAATTATGTCTGATAACACTGTAGTCTTTTAGTTGGTAAACATGATCTTTTATATATGCCTAAGGATTTAGCATAGATATTTCTACAGATATTGTATAGACTTAAAATAGAGGATAGGGCCAAGCCTAAATCAAAATCAGAATTAAAAAAGGAAAAAGCAAAAAGGTTCATCATAAGTTTATGAACATAATTAATAATACTGAACACCAAATTTTACTCTGGATTTGCAGAGGCAGTGCAGAAAGAAAAAACGTGTGCCAGTATCTGGATTATTGCCCCACAGCTCCAAATTCACCCCCCTACCCCCGCTCTATGAAAATAAATCTGGACCTTTCAAGTATTTTCCCTTTGTCAGCTAGCATGATCTTAAGTTTCGTCCGTGGAGAGTGCTAGGGAGAGATCACAAAAGGAAATGACTTTTGCACTGTGGTTCCCTTGAGCCTGTTGGGCAGAATCCCAGTGTGCGAGGCTTCCCTGTGCACAGTGCACCAGGTTCCTTTAGTGCCTAGCTACTGCAGTATAAGGTGGCATCAGCTTCCTGGCATTCATCCTAGGTGGTTTTGTAGAAAGTGTTTCCAGTGAATCACTGCCCTGTGAATAGCTTCTCAGGAATCCCAGAGGGCAGAAACCCAGCAAAGTTCCACTGCGGTCATGTCCTCCCCGGCAATGTCCGGATCTCAGCTTTGGGATGGAGACGAAGAATACTCCATCTTAGTTTGAAAGTTATTCCTTAAGTCTGCTATTTCTCTATTCTTTTTTAAAAATATATTTTTTCTTTAGTTGTAGTTGGACACAATACCTTTATTTTATTTATTTATTTTTATGTGGTGCTGAAGATTGAACCCAGTACCTCGCTCATGCTAGGCAAGGGCTCTAGCGCTGATCCACCAACCACCTCAGCCCATATTTCTATATTCTTCAGAGTTCACTACTTTATTCTAATCTTAATAATAAGGTGATCCACAATCTCCTGTTGGAGGCGATAATAGTTTATTTTAAACTTTCCCTGTTCAAACTATTATTTTCTCTCTTGTGACTGATACCACAATGACACAGCTTTTGGTATTATTGGGAGTGGTCGAGGACACATACATGCAAGAATAAGATTTTTGGATTGTTTTGCTTGGGCTGCTGGTCTGGGGTTGAGTCCAGTCCTGACTTTACTTCCAGTGGAATGGGATGCTATTAACCTAAGCTCTATAGTGCCATCACAATTAATCAAGCTATCATTGTGGTTCACTGTGATGAAGTGTTAACTGAAGCCAGTGTCTTTGGAGCCCAGTAACTGCTACACCTGACCTTATGGCAGTAATGAGCTCAATAAAAATTCTGATGTGGGGATGGATTGCTTTGAGAGCCTGTGCATTTATAGAGAAAATCACAAACTCAGGTCTGTTAACTCGCAGCTTAAGACACTATAGGAACCAGAGATTCCATGACAGCCTTAAGAAGAAGCTCTTACTTTTCAAAAATCAAAGGCAAACTATTTGTGCAGATAGTTAACTTAAAATGAGAGCAAAATTCTGTATTGTCAAATTCCTCAAATCTTGTATCATTGACTGGTTAAAAAATGGGACTCTGGGTGAGGGGTGGACATGGTGGCAAACGCCTGTAATCCCAGAGGCTTGGGAGGCTGAGACAGAAGGACCACAAGTTCAAAGCCAGCCTCAGCAACTGCAAGGCGCTAAGTAACTCAGTGAGACCTTGTCTCTAAATTTAAAAAGTACAAAATGGGGCTGGGGATGTGGCTCAGTGGTCAAGTATCCTTGAGTTCAATCCCTGGTACCAAAAAAAAAAAAGAATGGGATTCTGGGGCTGGAGAAGTAGCTTGATGGTACAGTGCTTGTATGTGTAAGAGCCTTGTGTTCAATCCCCAGCACTGCAAAAACAAACTGACAGACATTCAAACAAAATGGGATTCTGAATCTTGAAATGAGGAGATCTAGTTGAACTCAGATGAAAGTGATGATCTTGAATGGCTGTCATTCTGATCACTGGTTTGAAAACTCTGATAATCTCATTTGGAGTATACATCTCTTAGTTCTTCCATGCCCACTGATAGAGTTAATAAAAAACTACAGCAACTAGAAAAGGGAAGGACAATTTGGGTTCTAAAACACTTTAAAAATGTAGATTAGGGTCATTCTACCAAGTAAATCATTTCTAATTAGCTGAGGACTTGGTGAAAGCATGTAAAATATAAAATGGATTATTGAAGAAGGAAGCCATAACTACCAATTAATGACCTCATGACCAAATACAGAGAAAGACACTAGTAGCTTTACATGTTTTCTATCTATTTGTTTTTTTGGATGCATATGTGGTAGCCATTTTCTTTTTCTCTCTTCCCATTTCTACTTCATATAGCAGTTGTTAGAAAATAACTTTGCAATTTAGTCTTTACATGAGAGAATATTCAGTGTGACTTAATTTGTGGTGAGATTAACACAACTAATAGTTTTGATGATTTTGAGACTGTGCATCTGGCTCATTTTGGGAAAAGGGTAAAAGCTTTATTTGGAAGAACTATTATACCTTGTTAGGTAACAATATAGCTGTATTGTTGGATGAGAGCTCAAATGTGAGTAGAAAAATATACATGGAAACCAAATAGTTAAAATAATGGACTGTTACATTTACTGAATTATTGTTCCTCAAATCCAAATTCACAATTTTTGTCAGCTTTGTAAAAATGGATCTGGGCCATTTCAATATTTTCCTTTCTAACAGATGGTGTGATGCTAAGCTTTGTTCACAAAGAATGCTGAAACTACAGTTCAGGAGAAACAGGACTTTGCTTTTGAGCCTGGTGTGCTTGCTTGACAGGTTTCTGTGGCAGTCATGGTTTTCTCTAGCACTGATTCCCTCAGGGTATACAGCTTCTCCAGTGGCCAGCTCTTTAATTCATTTGACCAGCAATTTCCCCTAGCATCAACCTTGGACAGTTCTGCAGCACAGTGTTTTACAATTGGACACCTTCCTATGAATAGCTTTCCCTGACACCCCAGAGGGATGACTTCCAGCAAGTTCCAGAGGATAGTTTTCCAGAAAGCTCTGCCAGCAGGGCAACACAGTGACTGCTCTGCCATCCAATGAGCCCAGCTGTGCCATTTCCATCAAGACTGGGATCTCAGCTCTGAGGTGGAAGGGGAACTCTTCCTTGGGTGTTCTATCTTAGCTGGACAGGTGGCAGCTGCTCCTTTTATGTACTTTTCCTATTTTTTAAAAAAATAATTATCTTTATTTCTTATTAGCCAATTCCTTGTTACTTTTTTTTTTCCTTGCTGAGGATTGAAGGGTGCTAGATTGCTGAGGCTGTCCTAGAACTTGCAATCCTCCTGTCTCACTCTCCCCCAGTTGCTGGGATTACAGGTGTGCACTATCACATTCAGCTCTAATATCTTGATATAATTAATAATTCTGTGTATCAAATTTTCATATCAGGAGATAGGAAATGAAAGGTAAGCCCTTGTTATCTGCTTCTTCCTTTCTCACATAACCGTAACCAGGAATGTCTTCCAGTTCTCTATAGAATGTCTTCCAGTTCTCAAAATAGACTCTGTTTGAAAGAACTCGTCTGTGCTACAAATAAACACTAAGAAGGGATACTATTTATAATAACTTGCATTTCAGGAGGTTATTCCAGGCTAACTATACTTTGATACACACTTGTTTCAATTGGTTCACTATTCCTTTCTGATAAATCTCTGCTTATTTGCAGTGCTAATAAACACCTGGTATTTCATATGTAAAATTTATTTACTGCCTTGGTACGACATATATTTATAAGATGATCTGGGATCATTTATAAGCATTAAGAGTAAAAGAAACCATTTTATAGCCACTGCTATAAAGTTTCACAAAAATTCAAAAATCTAATTCATTAGGCAGTACAGTATATTTTCAAAAGTTATACCAAAAACCCCTAAATTGCAACATACCTAAGTTTAAAGTAGCATATTCCTTCAATCACAAAATTTAATTTCAAAGGAATAAAACAATTTAATTTTTAAATATGAAGATTTATAACAAATGATTTAATGACAAATTTGAAAGAACATCACTGATTCAAGATTTGTTAGATAATTAAAACTTGGTTGACTGATGACTTGAAGATGCCTATGAATATAGCCACTTCCTGACAGCTTACCATTATACTAGTATTTTTGCTAAATAACAGTCTCAAAATAACCTACGAGGTAGACTTTATTATTCCTGTTTTACAGATGAGATTCTTTAAGTTCAGAGGTTAATAGGTGCATTGCCCAGGTCATAGAGCCCACTAAGTCAAAAGGTCATCCCCTTAACCTCCACATGTCATATTCCTACTCTTTATGTGTCTATAGAGTGCCCTTCTGAGTATATTAAGACTTCCCAAGGGGTTCATAAGTGTGGACAATTTTAAGTTAACTTCTTCTTTTTTTGTTTTAATGCTAGGACTATTTTCTAAAACCTTTATTTTATTCTTTTATATGCAGTGCTGAGAATCGAATCTAGAGCTTCACACATATGAAGTAAGTGCTCTACCACTGAGTCATAACCCCAGCCCTTCAATTAACTTCTCAAGTAATCTTTCCTCAAAATGATCTACCTAACAATGTACCTAAAGTATAATGTTGGTTTTCTGTTTCCGTATTCCATTTATACTAACCTTTCTCCCACTTTATTTTAATTTTTAATTTTTTTTTTTTTGCAGTATGGGGAATTGAACCCAAGGATATTATACACACTGAGCTACAACCCCAACTCTTTCTGTTTTATTTTTAGACAGGGTCTCGGAAAGTTGCAGAGGCTGGCCTCAAACTTGTAATCATCATGATTTGGCCTACTAAATCGCTGAGATCATAGGTTTGCACCATCACATCTGGCTCTTTCTTCCACTTTATAAATAAAAGCATACCTATTACTCATTCAGGGTTGCAATCTGAAGTACCAAGGTCAAAACAAACTTTAACAACTTAATAATAAATCTTTTTAGGTGCCTTTCAATTTTTTGCTTTTAAAAAATTAAAGGAGGTTAATGACTTTTGGCAAATAGAAGAACCAAGTGACAATTCTATGATAAAATTTATGTATGTGACAAGGTTTCTTAAGCCTATATTCATAAAGATGAAAAACAAATACAATTTATGCTCAAATATGGGAAAAGAAGAAAACCTCCATCTCATTAAGAGATTCATTTCCAATAAAATCTGATGTTTAAAGAATTGTTTATCAAAATTTCTATTTATCTTTGATTACCTGGATGCTATTGTTTGCAACTCAATTTATTTATTTATTTTATATAAATATCTATATTTATTTTATATAATTTACTAATATACATATATAGTTATACTTATAGATGAACACAACACCTTTATTTTATTTATTTATTTTTATGTGGTGGTGAGAATTGAACCCAGTACCTCATACGTGCCAGGCGAGCACTCTACCACTGAGCCACAACCCTAGCCCCTGTAACTCAATTTAAATAACTTTTATTTCCAGTATTGGGGATTGAACCTAGAGACACTTTACCACTGACCTACAGTCCTTTTTATATTGAGACAGAGCCTTGCTAAATTGCTGAGACTGGTCTCAAACTTGCTGCCCTCCTGGAACCTCAGGCTCCAGAGTGGCTGGATTACGGGTGTGTGGCACAGCAACCGGCACAAATAAATTTTTAACATTAAAATTTTTTAGCAGAGCTGGGGTGTGGTGGTGCACACCTGTAATCCCAGCAGCTCAGGAGGTTGAGATAGAAGGATTGCAAGTTCAAAGCCAGCCTCAGCAAAAGCGAAGTGCTAAGCAACTCACTGAGACCTGTCTCTAAATAAAATACAAAATAGGGCTGGGAATGTGGTTCAGTGGTGGTCCAGTGCCCTGAGTTCAACCCCTAGCACTGCTCCTTCCCCCCAAAAGGTGAATGGTTTTCTCATCCATTCTGAAACAATTACTGAATACCAAATTGTTGCCAATGGGTGTATATAAATTTCACTTGATATTCTGCCTGTGTACCTCAAATTGCAATATTTCTCAGTTTTTACTGCAGAATAGAAAATGTTTTGCTTACATTTAGAAAACACAATTCTTTCTTTAATTATGTTGGTATAAGTGTGACTATTTTATACATGTATACACATGCAAAGGCATATTAGTGAACTGAAATGGAAGACCTCCAAGGATATCTTACAAATCACTTCCTTTCTTTTGTTTTCATGACTTCTGACTACTGTGTTGCTGCATAATAAAGTTTGGAAATTTTCTTCCACTCATACACGCGCGCACACACACACACACACACACACACACTACTTTCACAGGTATAGCATATTTGCTGCCAAAATTTCTCTTGCCTTTTTTCATTATTTGACTAAACTAGAAAAACTTATTTTTAAAATATATTTTTATAAAGTCAAAAGCCCCCAGTATTTTCACATTTAGGAATCTCCATTGCTCTAGTGGATTTCATTCTAAGAAGTCTTTCTTGAAATCACTAATTCTAAAGTGATTCTAAAGTAGAGGAACACTAATAATTATTGAATGTGCCAGAGGTTTGAACTCAGATCCTCCTGCCTCAGCCTCCTGAGCAGCTATGATTACAGCCACATGCCACGGCGTCTGAGTACCCGGTTTCACCTTTTCTTAAGAGTAGTTGAAACAAACAAACAAACAAAAACCCTGAAGCCTTTGACTTTTATCATTTTCTGTCCCATCAACATAGGTATCAGAATTACTAAAATACCTCCATAGCCTGGGCTAAGCGTTCTTCCAGTGCCATATAGGTGAGGAACTGAGGATCCACATAAGAAATAGCTTCAGCCACTCCCAGTCCATCTGCAAAGCCATCAAATAAGCTGGAGGGAAAAAACACAAAACCTGTAACTATGATTTAGAAAATTTTATGCTGAGGCTATAATTATATTAGCATTTCTTGCGAGCAGAAATTCTTAAATTATTTTAATGTTAATCTTGTGGGATAAGGAGCAGGAAGGACCCAGCATAAAAGTTAAGTGCTAAGCATAAGATGTCACTCTCTTCCCCAACAGCCTCCACACTCACTGCACAAAGTCTGTAGGAAATTTTTCTTTTCGTGTTTCAAGGCTAACTCTGAGGACTGCTTAAATACAGTGCTTTTCCCCATCCAAATATTTCCTACACTTCCTTTTCTGTGTTTTCAATTTGAGTGTAGGTGAGAATGAGAAAGAAAATTGTTACATTTATTTTAATTGTGTCATTAGTCAAGGCCTCTTTTTCTTCTCTCACTTTGTATTGCTTAATTACTTTGGGTTAAAAATATTTTATTTTCTCAGACTTTTCTAATTAATGTTTCTTTTTGAACTCTGATAAGAATTAGGTCTCTTTCATTATTATGCTTGAAAACAAATTTGCTCCTAACTTCATTTTTTTTTTAGGGAACTATAAGCCCCTGAAGAAAAATACATTCCATTCCAGTATTAATCTCTTTCTTCTAATCCCTAGATATAAACATATTCCTCCTTTTTCTCTTTTCATGGAAATGCTAAGTATTTCAAAATTTGGAAATAAATATTTCCTTGGTACCCTTCTCTCTTTAATCTTGCTCCCTTGGAGGCTACATTCCATTACATTTATTCAATTGTCCTCTCTGTAGGTAATTTCTGAATTACCTAATTCTGAACTCCTCTGGAACAACTGACACTTTTAGTTGTTTAGGGGGCACTTTGTGTGGATGTACTTCTACCATCTTATAAGCCCAGGATCTCTAAAACAACTTATTTTATCTAAAGACAAGCTTCTGTTGAATTCCCCATCCTATCCAAACTTCAACATGATAGTCAGAAACATCCATAGTCACACAAAATAGCTCAAAAATAGTGTTGATGTCAACCCGTGTGTCATTATTAAAATTACAAATAAATTGCAAAGAGACACAGAAGTGATTCTCATAAAGAACATAGCATAGCTTAACAGTACTTAGGAATCAACATGGTGCAAAGGAACATTCTCATACGATCACAAATTTTAGAATCAGAATTAATACTAAGAATTCTGAATCCACACACCCTTGTGATGCTAGAATTCCTTCATCTAACAGTGAGATATAAAGCAAAGAGCCCTGGAGTCAGTCAGAGATTTAACTGATTCACAGTTAACTAGAATTATTTAACTGTGACTGTTTCTTCATCTATAAAATAAAGAGGATCTTTTTAATACTTTTCTAAAAGTCTGGAATTATTTCAAAAATTTCTATTACTTACAAAATTAACTTCACACACTTTATTAGGTTAATCATTATAATCTTAACTTCTTACAGGAAGACAGAGGTTAAGGAGTTATCAAGGAACAAATAAATGGTAATAGGTAGGATTTGTCTAAATCTCTAACCAGGTTTTCTCCATGTCATTTCCTACCACACCAACCTGAGATACTCAAGGTATTTTAAAATACTTACAATTTCAGTCAAAATAAATTAACACAAGGTAGTGGACTTCTCTTATTTTTTTTCTACTTAAAATAAGGAAACAAAGGTTTTGCATTTTTTTCTAAGTAGTACCAGAGTTTGACTTTAGAGACAAGAATTGCTAATATTTGCCATGGCTTTTCATTTCAGTTGTTAAAATGACATGCTATTTTAATATGAAAATGGAACTCTAGTTTCACCTTATCAACCTTAGTCACTGCCACATAAATTAATGTAGTGCCACACATGCAAATAATCAGATGTTAACATATTTAAATTCAAAAGAGCAAAGTTCAAAAATTTTGTTTTAAAATCAATGATAAAATACTTTCCACATTAAAATCCTACTTTGAAGCTCTGCAAATTTTGGAACCATCAGTAACGTCTCTGAAACACAACATATACATCCAGAAAGATCATCAATGAATTAGAACCCAAAGTAAAAGTTTTCAAATTGAAGTTAAAATTATATTCATTAAAGACATAATTCTTTTGAATTGCTATGTGAATTAACCTTTTTTCAAAGATATCTGGAAGTATGTATCAAATCTTGAAAAACACAACATACCTTAGTAATATCAATTCTATTTATCTGTCCTAAAAGAATAACCAGAAATACAGAACATGTTTAATAGTTCATTGCACTATTTCAAAGGATAAATACTCCACTAAATCTTAGTATACCTATAGGCTGGAGCCAGCTACATAATGGAGCTGTAAAAAATATTTTTACTCCTGAAAACATGCAAGAGAAAAAATGCCCTCATGTGAAACTACAACTGCTTCCAAAGATGTACAGATGATACTAAATGACAATTCTTTAATCTTTATTCTGATCACTCTGAGGAATTACTCAGCATAACAGAGAGAAGATTTCAAAATTAAGGAGCTCAGGAGGTAGTTAACAGGGAGAAAAAAGAGAAGAAGGAAAAGAAGGAAGAAGCCTCGAGGCCAGCAAGACTGAGACCAGGATCAACTGATTCTCCATTATGTTTGCCAAATCAGAAAATGCATTTGAGAACAGGAATGTTTAAGGTGAAATTTTAAATTACATGCCTTTGATAAAACTCCACTTCTACATCCACAAAATTATTGACAAAAGTTTGTTTTACATACATGACTTTTCCCCTCCTAGGGAGTAACAGGAAAGGATAAAGGATCTCAAGGAGATGGTGAGTTTCTTGTCTGAAGAAATAGAAAAAAGTAGCTAGCTTAGTGAGACCCTGTCTAAAAATATAATTAAAAAGGACAAGGTATGTGGTTTAAGTGATTAAGCCCCCTGGGTTCAAGCTCTGGTGCCAAAATAAAATGAAAGGAAATAAAATAAAATTAACTTCCATATTCTACATACAGACAAGGAAAAGGAAGGACAGAGAATGATAACAATATTCTTAAGATTCCTATGATTGAATCACAGGTTTTAATTTCTTCAAGTAGTATTCATTCAGAACCAATTTTTTTTAAAAAAGATTATGCTGCTGGGTGTGATGGCGAATGCCTGTAATCCCAGTGGCTCAGGAGGCTGAGGCAAGAGGATGGAGAGTTCAAAGCCAGCTTCAGCAAAAGGAAGGCACTAAGCAACTCAGTGAGATCCTGTCTCTAAGTAAAATACAAAATAGGGTTAGGGATGTGGCTCAGTGGTTGAGTGCCCCCTGAGTTCCTGAGTTCAATCCCCGGTAGCCCCCCCCCCCCCGCAAAAAAAGGATGATTATGCTAAGTGCTGCAGCCCACATGTAGTAAATCAAAAAAACCTAAAGTTCAAATCCATGAGAAGTGTATAAATAACTAGGTTAGAAGGTGAACTTCATGAGAGCTATAGATCAAAGAAGGAAGAGGTCTCCAGCTGGAGGAAAAGGAGAGTCCATGTCCAAAGTGTCATCTGAAATGAGCTTTGAAAGAGGAGACAATATGAGCTTTGAAGGAGGAAACAATTAGTAGATGGGAAAATCAGAATACCCTTTACCTCAGAAATTCAATTCTTACAATTCAGAATCCTGAATGAATTGTACCCTGAGCAATGACACATGCTCATCACACTGAGCTACATACCTCCAGTCCACATCTAAGTCTTCACTCACACTGGAGTCGTCCTCAAGGTTGTTGTTACCATCTAACATGAAAGCTTCTGGTTGTGCAAATTCATTGGCAGGCTCATTGCCCTCATCACTGCTGCTTTCATTGACTTCATTGTACTGTAACCAAGGAATTTCTCCCTCTTCCAAAGATGTCTGTTCCCTAACACAAACATTTTAAAGGAAGAAAAAATATTATTTAAAATATATCATTAACATTTTGTTTTGTTTTCGTACCAGGGATTGAACCCAAAGGCATTTAACTACTGAGCCATATCCCCAGCCCTTTATATTTTTAATTTTGAGACAGGGTCTCAGCAGATTGCTCATAGCCTTGCTAAGGTTATGGAGGCTAGCTTCGAACCTGCAATTCCCCTGCCTCAGCCTCCTGAGCTGCTGGGATTACACATGCACCACCATGCCTGGCATTAACATTCTTTATTTTAAAGAATTCTATTTACTGCAACTGAACACTGTTCTTGAAGTACTAAGCTTTTGGTACGTCTATGATTCTAAAAAACTATTTTCTTTAACAACAAAATTATTTAAAAAGGTAACAAATTTGTTACAGGGTCATATATGTATAGAAAGTTCCTAATTACACAAAAACATGTTTCTTTGGTTTATGAACTGTCTGTGCTGTGCTCCTACATTTCTTCTTTTTTTGCAGGAGAAAAATACGAGAAATCCATATTAGACTACTTGAATTTTTAAACATTGTTTTTGAGTGGTTTCCCTTCACAGTTAAAATCTACATTCCTCAACCTGGCCTACAAGTGCCTACATAATTCATGCTTTCTTTGCAACCCACTTCTCCACCATCATTTCTGCCCACACTTGTCCCTGGTCTATTATGTTCCTAATCCTTTTGCTTATTCTTGGAGCACATGGAGATCACTTCTATCTTAGGGATATTTCTTCTACCTGAAATGTTGTTTTTTTTTTTCCCAGATTTCCACATTGTTATTCCCTTCTTGATATTAATGTCACATTGCATGCCATCTCCTCAGACATATCTTAACACTGTATTTAAGTAGTTCTCCAGTTACTAGCTACCACAGCATTCTGCTGATTTAAATTGTAGAATTTATTTTTACCTAGTATTTTCTTATTTGTTTATTTTCAGTAGAATATAAGTTCACAGAAACTGGGACAGACAAATCAATGGTACAGACCAAGAAAATAGGAGGTAAAGGGAGCACTTTAAAACAAAAGGAAAAGGACTAGCTAAAGATGATATTGGGAAAACTGGATGCTCACCTGGAGGCAGAGAGGTTTAATCCCTAAGTAACTATCCTTAAATAAATTGCTTTCTTGCCAGGCATGGTGGTGCATGCCTATAATCCTAGCAGCTTGGGAGGATGCGGCAGGAGGATTGTGAGTTCAGCAACTTAGCAAGGCTCTAAGCAACTCAGCAAGACCCTGTTTCTAAATAAATATAAAACAGGCTGGGGATGTGGCTCAGTGGTTAAGCAGCCCTGGGTTTAATCTTGGGTACCAAAAAAAAAAAAAAACTTTCTGTTTTGAAATCCATGTGCATATATATTCCACTACCATTATCACTAACATATAAAAGAACTAGGAAAAATCATGGGAGAAATTTTTACAAGTCTCATGTCATCCTAAGCTCCTAAGCACAATGAAAAATCTTGAAGCCATAAAGAGATTGCTAAAATTCATACTATACATATTAAAGAAAATGTAAAAAAAATGTATATATAGAGAGAGATGTAAAAGCAAACCACTAGGGAAAAGATCAACACATAGCAACAGAAGGGAGCAAAGGATATAATTATTTGCCAGAAAAGGAAATTTAAATAGCTATTAAATATATGAAGAGATGCTTTACCTCATGCATAATGTAAATTAAACAGTAAAATACATTTTTCAATGATTGGTAACTGTAAAAAAAAATTGATAATACACTGTTGGTAAAAAAGTAACTGATATAACATCCTTTGTAAAGAAATGTCAATAGCTATAAATTAAGAGTCTGCTTTTAGATACTTCTCAAAAAGTATGTACAATGTTTTCTTTGTAGTATTACCTATTAAAGCCCAAACTGAAAAAATTTAAGTGTTTACCAATGAAAATTAGTATACCATACTACGCAGATTTTTTAAAAGAATGAAAGAAATCCTTATGTATGAATACAGAACAATTAAAAAATAGATCTATGAACAAAACAAAAACAAAAGGAAAGTGTTCACAGATACAATGTGCTACCAGTTGTGTAAAAAAATAAAGAAGTACATATATGCTTTTATATAAATAGAATATCTTTGGAAATTCACAAAGGAAATTGGTTATACTGTTGTTGTTGTTTTCCCTGGTTGTTGTTGTTTTATTTTCCTCACACTACACAAATTCACTTTTTAGCAGGTATATTAGACTCTGTATTCTTTTTTTTTGGGGGGGGGGGAGTGGGGGGACTTACCAGGGATTGAACTCAGGGGGCACTAGACTACTAAGCCACATCTCCAACTCTATTTTGTATTTTTTTTATTTAGAGACAGGGTCTCACTGAGTTGTTTAGCACCTTGCTTTTTCTGAGGCTGGCTTTGAACTGGGGATCCTTTTGTCTCAGCCTCAGGAGCCCCTGGGATTATAGGCACGCAATACCATACTTCGCAGAATCTGTATCCTTAAAATGTAATTTTATTTCATCTGTTTAGCAAAAGAAGTTAAACCAGAAAGAACTACTTGGCAATAAATTATTAGCAATTCATTAAATATTTCTAAAACACTAAAGCCTGTATCATTAAAAGGTAAAGCTGTATTCATTCTTACTAATCATATTTCAGAATCATCTTTTCAATTACTATAAACTACAAGAGTGAAATGAGCAGTTATGTGGGTCATCTGCCAATCAATGAAGAGTTGTTTGTATATCAATTTGAAATATAGCTAAAACTAAAAGATGTCTAAAATTTAACAAATGTTCAAATCTTGAAGGTTTTCTTAACTTCAACCACAAGAGTCCCTTTTTCCCTTTGGTCAAAGCCCTATTATATGAACAAGTCAGAATTCTGAAAATGCACTAATTTATTATTATCTTCTAATTTTCTCTTTGCTCCACTTCAGACATTAGTCATTTCTTGATAGATATAATCAGTCCATCAGAATTATGCATTTGACATTGAATGTACCCCATCATTCCTAATGAATATATTCTGGATGCAAAATATATATCAACTGGAAGAAGACTTTTGGACCTACATTTATCTTGGTAATATAAAAACTAGTTTATTAAACAGATACTCAAAAATTACTGTTAAAAAATAAAATCTAGGGGCTGAGGTTGTGGCTCAGCGGTAGAGCGCTCGTATCACACGTGCAAGACCCTGGGTTCGATCCTTGGCACCACATACAAAAATAAACAAGTGAAATAAAGGCGTTGTGTCCAACTACAACTAAAAAATAAATATTTAAAGTAAAATAAGGTCGGCGGTTAGGTTGGCTGTGCCATGAGGCCTGGGACGCCTTGGCTGGTAGCCGTGGGTGAGTTCCTCTTTAGCTCCAGTCTTAGCGCAGTGCTCGGACTGTAGCTGTGTCCGTGTGTTATGATGCCGTCTTGTACTAATCTGGCTACTGGAATCCCCAGTAGTAAAGTAAAATACTCAAGGCTCTCCAGCACAGATGATGGCTACATTGACCTTCAGTTTAAAAAAAGCCCTCCTAAGATCCCTTATAAGGCCATTGCACTTGCCACTGTGCTGTTTTTGATTGGCGCCTTTCTCATTATCATAGGCTCCCTCCTGCTGTCAGGCTACATTAGCAAAGGGGGGCAGACCGGGCCATTCCTGTCCTGATTATTGGCATTCTGGTGTTCCTGCCAGGATTTTACCATCTGCGCATCGCCTACTATGCGTCTAAAGGCTACTGGGGTTACTCCTATGACGACATTCCAGACTTTGATGACTAACACTCACTTCAGCCCTGAGACAAGTCACAGTGGAACTAAACTCAGCTTTAAGATATTGAACAGAAACTATGGCTAAGGGCTGAGGAATTATACAGTTTGCAGATGTTTGACAAAACAATGGCCAGAGTTTATGGTTCCATCCCAAAAATGTTCATTGAGCTTAATTAGCTAATTAGGAAACGCTGTGTTTTTCATCTGGCCGTGGCAAAACTCAACAAGTTTTTCCACATGTATCATGGAAGAATAGCAATGCTAATTGGGAAAACAGGAGATTATCCTGTAGTGGAAAGTGTTACCATTCCCACCCTCTTTATATTGAGCATTTCTTTTAAATAGTCTTCTTTGTCAATTTGTTATTGTAGCAAATGGAAGAGTGTGGTATGTCTAATTTCTTAGTTACTAAGTAATTTAATTTTAAAATATCAAAAGATCTTATCCCCTACACTTAACTCTACTTTCACATTCTGGTAGAAGACCTCCCTAAAACCACATGTTGGTGTGGATCCATCTGTAATATTTTTTACTTTGTTTCTTAGTGACAGGAACCAGGAATTTTTTGAGTCACACAGTAAGTTTTCAAAGTATAAGCACTGTCTCTGATAACCAATCCTTGACCAGCTCTGATCTTGTTTCCCAATAGGATGGCCTGCATATAATTTGGGTCATTCTATCCTTTGTAGATCAAGATGTTCTATATATCATGCCTTTAAAGACTGAACTTTTGGCTGTTCCCTAATGAAAAAAAATGAAGATAAGTGGTTGCTATTTAGAGTGTATAACTCTATTGGTAGCACCTGGTACTATAGTGTCATTCTGCTGAAGATCTCAAGACTTGGCTTGGATCCCTAGAGGACCACATCCTTAGGTTGATTCTATTTCTTTGCTTGAAAAAGTGACTTATATTCAAAAGAAATTAAAATGTCAGAATCCAAATCCTGGACTAAACATGAGTTAACTTTAGACATAATTCAAAAAACATTTTAATGATTTTATAAAGTACCCAGGAATAACTGTTTTGGGGTAACTGGCATCATGAGTTAGACTCTACTTTCTAGTCATTCATTTACTCTGAGGTTAATAGATTTGAACAACTATAAGCTTGGATGTACCATCAACTGAAATTTTGAAGGCTGTGATAGGGCAATTTTGGGGGGAAAGATGAGTTTGGTTTGGGATATGTAAATGTAGATGTCTCCTTGACATCCAGGTGGTGCTGTGGAGACATTAGTTGCAGTACA